TAATCTTCTCTTCACTTCCAAATATATTGCCAATGTATATTCAGAATGTAAACAAACTTTAGCAGTCGAGTGTTGGTTCCACTAAGAAAACTGTTATGTTTTCACATGTTCATTTGCTCACACACAACTTAATGCAAAGTAAAATTCTCAAGATAGGCAGCTTGGAGCTTTCATACAATATAGTATGTTGGGGAAAATCGAAACACCCTCAAAGTTTTACTCAATTCATCAATGTTTATAAATGATATAAAATTGCCTTCACTAGGATTTGGTCTCATATTAGTCATCAGCTGCTGGCTAGCATCAGATAATATGTCATTTTTCTTACAGAATTGGCACCTTTAGAGAGCTACTGGACTGTTTTGACAGTAAATTCTTTAGCTTTCTATGGAAAGTTTGACCTTTGCACTGTTTGGATGAATACATTATGGGCAGGTATAACTGTAAATAGATATTTTTCTCTGAAATTCAATTAAAGCAGCAATTATGAATAAAGACGAAAGGTGGCAGAAGAGATCACAGGGCTGGAAACTAGCTTGAAGATGTTAAAAGTTTAAAAATTTGCATCTGTAGAAGAAAATGAAAAGTGCATTTAGAAGGATATGCTAGACTCCAGGTTCTTAATATTTCACCTGTGTTTTAGGTTCTAGTTTACTGGGGCACATTTACACCCTACCTGCTTTAGGTATATATGCTATATATATATTAACCTGTATATCTGTCTGCTGCACTCCTGAGACCACTTCTGCACAAGCAAGGTAATGTATGAAAATCACTCCTTTCAAGCCTTTCAGAAAGTATACTCTTCTTAATTTAAACACTTTTTCTCTCATAAGACTATAGCAGACAGTCATAAGGAACAGACTCCACAATGGTGAGGCCAGACCCAGTTTCTCATTTTGTTAAAATATAGGTCACCTAAGAGATGTGTCACAGTTCTAATTTGGAAGAAATCTTATATTTTCTTGGATCAAAAGATTCAGTAAAAATACTATATTTTTAAAGTGGCTTATGTTTTAGATCCACCATTTTTCAAATTTCAGGCAATGTTACAATAGAAAAGTATATATAGTGTAGATGATGTTTTTTAGGTGAGTCTAATTAGTTACATGGGACATAAAGAGAAGTTATGGAAGAACAGATTAAGAACAGATGTTAGAGACATTTTTTCACTTGGAATAACAACATGTTAAGAGCCTAATGGGTTAAGTTGATAAAGCAAAAACCCTGTGATCATTCAAGATCCAAATCAGATGCACCTTTGGAGGAATATGAATTTCTAAAATGTAAATATTGGCAGATTAAATTATCTTCATTTAGTTCATAAAAATATTATAGAATAAATTCCAGTATTTCTTTATATTTACATTGTTTTTCACAGCATTCAGATAGGAATATTAAGGTATACAGAGACTTTTTTTTCCTAAGGTAAATGAAAAATGAAAATGTTTTAACTAAGATTTGGAAAGGTTTTATATTTCCTTTCTGCTTAGTGATTTATTTGAATGAAATTAATACCTTAACTGAAGTTTCACAAATAACACAATATCTATGAATAGTGCTCCATTAGAAATATTGTTCACTCTATATATGACTATAAAGTAAATATTAATTACTGTTCCAGAATTTTTGATCAAATTAAGTAGTGTGTGATTATCAGATCTTATTATTTACAAAAATCCTTTGTGAATCTCCAAGACAAATGTTATATAATCCTGTTACTTTGAAATGGCTGCATCTCACGTTTGGAAATATGTCATGTCAACCATTCATAATGCTGAAAAGAGTAGTTTGGAGTAGTACCCAATAAATGTTCAAAGAATTTCCATCTTTTTTATATTATTTAAGGGGATGAAAATTACATATAGTTGGAATTTTTAGTTAAATCATCTGGGCTAGAGTAGCGATTTCTACTCATTCGACTGTTATTGTTTTCAAACTCTTACAAGGTGAAGTCAAGCATTTATTATATTACCTTAATGTTTGATTTACATAGTACAGATGTAATAATAAATAGTTTACACAATTAAGCTATCACTATTAAAAGCTACACCTATATCTTTTTAATTCTGGTAACGTTCCTATATATTTGGACTTTTTTACCACGAGGTTGTGGTTTTACAGGATAGGAAATCTAGCGTTATTGCTTCTGTCAGTGCTTCTGCTTTCTTAGATTACAATGTAGAAGCCGTATCACGTAAAGAACTGATCTAGCATGAAACTCACTTTGCTGCTACAAACTTTAATGGATTAACTTTATACTGGGAAGCTTTATGCTGCATCAGTTATTGTCTTCACTTACACAGCCAGGATAATACCAGCGTAAACACATAGTGACAATTTATAATCTGGATCTGACACTGTGGCTAATTCAAGGGAAAAGTCATTATGAACTGTACTTCATCCAGGTCAAATGTGTGAGTTGGCATCCATCAGGGTTGAGATGATTATGCAACCATCACATGAGGGTATCTGAGAAATAGTTCCTAATAAATATATGATATATGTGTTCTTGGGTGTGCACACATGCAGTAATTAGCACTCTAGGATTTTTTAAAAAATGCTCAATTTTATCTTATGGGGATTTGTTTTGTAAATGTAACACTTATAACTACATCTTTATGCTTCCAGCTGCTTCCAAGTTGAGGATATGAAAGAGCTTTATAAAATTAGGGCTTGAAGTCAATGGCACTCTTTCAACTGACTTGTAAAAGACCTCAACAAAAGCTCATTAAAGTCAATGAGAGATTTCTATTGGCTTTAGAGGGCTTTGATTAAGATTCTTTATGAGTTAAGCTTCACAAGCCAGTGTAAGGGCAAAAAGCCTATTACCCTCGTTATATTGCTGGGAAACCTGAGACACAAATAGGTTAAGTATCTTGTCATGAAACTGTTTTTAGCTCAACCGTATCTTAGTCCTTCTTATTCTGATGTGTATTTACTAATATACGTGTATGTTTTAATGTGTTTATTCTCAAAATTAGATCCAGTTGAACTAGCCTGGCTTTTTGTTTAACACAAGTTCTAAGTTTATAAGCTTCAAATCAGTAAATTGCTTTTAGTCAACATTACTGTAAAAACTGTATTTATGATTGTCCATAAAAGCAATTCTGTACTGCAAGTTTTGTAAAAACCTATCTGAAAAAGATTCTAGTCTGTTTACCTACTTCTTTTTTCAGCTGTGCAGACCTGTAGGCTGTGACTCGAAAATTCAATAGACTTTTAGAATGACATTCAAAATAAGTGAATATGCTGACTTTGTTAATTATTTTAATTTACATTTCAAAGACTGTCATTATCTCTTTTGGATATAAGACAGAAATGGTTTAACTGTTAACCCTCAATGGGCAAATTCAGTTAATAACTGGTGGAGATTGGTCTGCTATTTCCTTAAATGGATCCAGTATTTATCTCTGTAATTACTGGGAATGAATATAAGTAGTCAAAAATAGAAAGAGTAAAAAGTTCATTAGATAGTAAGGTAAACTGAAATATGACACTCTCAGTGAGGTGAAATGCATGACTTCTGATAAAGGAAATATTCTAACCTAAAGGTTTGCAAACTGTGACAATAACCTTGCATCACATGTTCTCTCTTCTTCTGAGAGAGATTCAGACCATCCAAATGCAGCTGCAGGAAGGGACAGATATCTTTTTGGAGTTCTGGATTACTTACATAATAGGAAACGTGGAATCCCACATATCCTAAAAGTGCAAATCATTGCAGTGATGATCTTACCATCTGTTGAAGCTTTCATTTACAAGCTATAAACTAG